GACAGTACTCCTGACCTGCCGGCTGGGCTGGGGCCACTCATGGGGCCATCGTCTGCCTACGTGCTTCTCCCTCCTGTGAACCCCTGAGACTGCACTGTGTGGTCTCCAAGCTGCACTGCTTGGGGCCAGTGGTCAGCATCGCTGTGGCGTGTTTTTAGGGAAGCCTCTGTGACCACAGGAGCAGGACCTCTCCTCCCCACATCTGGCCCCAGTCGCAGTGTGGTGCTGTGCACTTTCTCCGTGGCCCATTCTTCCTATAAGTGGGTAAGGTCCACTGGGGCAGGGCCTGTCTGCCTTCACCACCCCCAGGGGATCAGCGCAGCAGGGGAACGTCACGGGAATCGGGAAGAGCAAGGTGGGGACACAGTGAGCCCTTTCCCCCCATTGCTTTCCAAGGCCAGGACCACAAGCCCCAGAGGGTCTCTGTCCCCCTGGACAGCTCCAAGGAGTGGGAGCCCTGGTTGCCTGGACCCCCGAGGGGCACCCCACTTTGGAGAGTCCTCTGCCTGGCAGTGACAAGGGGCAGGGTGAGCTGCACCTGGGTCCTGGGCCTTCTTGAGTTTCACAGTCCTGCATTTGCCACTTGTGCCCCCCCCCCAACAGGAAGTCCCGGTGTGTCTGCCCATAGCAGTCTTCTGTGTGGTCCAGTGTCCATCTCCCTGCCTCTGTCCAGACCACAGATGAGCAGTTGATGCACCACACATGATACAAGAAACTCTGGAAGGGGGCACTGTGCTTGCACCCCTGCCCAGTGGTCATGCCCTCCCCTGGGGCATGGCTGGGCACTGCATCCAGGACGGACCTGTGGACAAGCCCAGGGTAGGCACCGGAGCAGCGCCACCACCCACCCCAGCACACTGCTCAGTGCCGTTTCCCGCCCACCCACCTTGAGCTCTGCTGCAGCTTCTCCTTCCTGGGGCCTTGATGTGGCTCTAAAGATGAGACCACCCATGGAGACAGGGTCCGGGAGCCCACAGCTCGCCCGACTGATTGATGGCTGAGGTACAGTGAGCAGAATAGGCTAGGAAGGGGCAGCTCGGAGACAAAGCCCTCAGCACAGAGGGCCTGTCTGTTCCGCCTGAGGTCACACAGCCGCTCAGTGACCGAGGCAGCCGGCCCAGCCCCCAGGCCATCTGGAATTCCACACCATCCACCCTCCCCTCTGCCAGACAGAGCTGTTCAGAGGCGGCTGGGCCTGAATCAGCACTGGCCAAGAGGCCACAGTCTGTGTGGCCCATCAGGAGACAGACTGCTGACTCTGGGCCAGCCCGGGGATGGACCGCCTGACCCTGGCCTCAGCCTCGCTGTCAGCCAGGCCCTGCAGGAAACATTCCAGAGGTGGGCAAAGTGAGCGGGCGAGGCCGCATCAGCGCTGAGCTGCCTGGGTGGTACTGCTGTGCCACAAAGGGCTCTGGGGTGGAGTGAGAACTCTGCGCAGGGCCAGTGGCTGTGCAGGTTGGACATGCAACCAGGACCTGTGTGGCAGGAGGCACCGGCAGGGGGCAGCCGCGCGCCTGGAGGACAGTGCCCGTGCCCACGGCAGCTGCTGCCATTGTTCATTCATTGGTCCCGTGGATAGACACGTTTGGAAGCAGAGTCCAGAGGCCAAGTTTCCAGCTTCAGATGAGCTGCCCTGGAGCAGGCGTGGGCACAGCACCCAGGAGCAGCCCAAGGGCACTGCCCAGGGAAGCAGCAGTGGGAATGAACCCGAGGGCCTGGCGACAGAGGCAGAGGCAGCCAGGCAAGGACCAGACAGGATCATCCTGCATGCAGAGGACACGCAGCAGAGCCCAAGGAGGGAGCCGGGGTGCACCAGGGTGCCCATGGGGCTCCGGATCAGGAAGGACAGGGCTGGGCTGAACCCTGAACATCTGAAAGTTTGAGAACACTTAGTGGCACAGGCTGAATGGGTGTCTCCATCCAGAGCCCGTGGAGGTGACCCGCTGGTGGGGCCTGCAGTCCTTCCGCAGGGCCGTGCCAGGCCTGGCAAAGCCAGGGGAGCCGCACACCGCTGTGGGCTCCAAAGGTAGCTGTGCTCTATGTGTATCTGTGGGCGCCCTGGCCCGCGTCCTGCTGGCAGAGTGGACACTCACTGCGCTGTTGTCGGGGCTCCCCTGCCCGGCCTGGGCAGCACGCGGTGGAGCTTAGTACGCTGGGGCCGGGAGTGATTCCGGCATCTCATCATGTGATTCTCTCAGCCACCCATGAGGTAGCGACTCCCATCATCCCTGCTTCCCTGAGAAGGAAACTGGGGCACTGGGGGTGAGAAACTCCCCCACGGCTGCTGAGGCTGGGGCTGACCGTGGCTGTGGTCGCCCCACTGTCACACATGCAGAGATGGGGAGAACCTACTTCTCTCCTCCACCTGTGCTGTGGGGGCCATCCCCGCGTAGAGGGTGGGGAAGTGGACCTGTGGGTCACGGGCCTATCTCAGAACACGCAGCAGGGGAGCTCAGAGCCACAGTTCAGTCCGTGTGTGCACGACTCCAGCTGCTTGTCCTCTCCAAGGGCTTGCAGGTCCAGGCTGCCCCCCCCCAGGGCTCAAGGATCTTCCTGCACCCCACTCTGCTCTTCCTAGCCACACCCCATCTGCAGGCAGGAGTTAGCAGGGCCAAAGTGCTGCAGCCCAGTGCCCTGAAAACTGCATCCTGAGGAGTCCTGGGGTACCCAAGGCCTGGATTTCTCTGCCTGCAAGGACCTCAGCCTAATTCCAGAAGCCGCCTGGCCCCTTGCTAGACCCAGCCTCCCAAGAGGTGGGGGTGGAGATGAGGGTTGGCCACGTGGCCCAGGCCCCCACAAGCCTGCACAGAATCCTCAAGGACACAGCACAGGGCAGGGTGACTGGGAAATTAGGGTCCTGGGCTGCAGAGAAACTGAGAAGCGAGAGCTAGCTGGCCCTTTCCCTTTACTCCAGTGGAACTCTGAGTTTCAGGGCTAAGTGCTGAGTCTTCAAGATGGTTATGAAGTTGAACTTGTGGAGGACAGCGAAAGACGTGTTATCTAGAAGTACTCTAGCTTTAGTGATCCCTTTTTAATGTTAGACATATGACGCGAGCTGGGCCCCAGAAATACTAGGCGTGAAGCTGTGCTGTTGTCTGGGATTCAGTGGCATTACTGTTGAAAGTCTGCAATAAAGCCCACAGCCCAGTGGCTTTCCCTGGCGAGGCTCACGGCCCTGCGTCTCATGGAAAAGCATCTCTGGCCTCCTCTCAGGTCACCCTGCAGTTCCTGTCTCACGGCAGTCCGGCTCAGCACCATCTTGGACTGTCAGCATGCTGAGGAAGCGGCTCTGGTGCAGGAGCCGCTGTCAGCAGTTCCTACGGGCTGGGGAGATGTGGCTGCACTGGCCAGGACCAAGCCCCGATAGAGCGCCCTGGAAACAGACAAGCAGGAGCTCCCTGCGAACTTACAGAAAAGGGGTCTTTCACAAAACAGAGGTTTGAGAAAACAGTTGGCAACAGCTGTGTTCCAGAGAAAAGCCTGGAACAAGAAGCCACAAAGAAGGTTCTTGAATGTTCTGCTTCCAAGTTATGGGTTGGGAGTCACCCACGTGGCCACCCCAACTGGTGGAGAGGTGACACATTTCGTGTGTTAACGTGTCAATTCTCATGCTGAGGAGCAAGGGTGGGACAGGCCCTGGGAAGGCAAGAACTGTCTCTGTCCATGAGATAGCTCACAGAAGTGCTCCAAACAGCATCTGCTTCCTGCAGGCAGCCCGAACTGTGGGTTCCAATTGCAACAAGAACCAAAAGGACCAAGTACAAGCTTGTGTTCCTTTTCCTTTGTTCTCGGGGAAGTCGCCCAAGCCTGCGAGCGCACCACCTGCAGCTGCTGCTTCTAGGAGTCAGCAGACGCGCAGCTATCGAGCCAGGACAAGGTGGGGTACCTGGAAGCGGGGAGGTTGCTCCTGCTCCAGCAGGAAGAGGAGCAGGGAACAGGAGGCGGCCGAGCAAGGAGACGCTAAGCCACGCTGTGCAGCGCACCTGCCCCGTGACGAGGGCCACTTTCTGTGTCACACACGCGTGCTGCTGGCAGTGAGACGAGGCCCGGCCCGAGCTGCGCCGGCAGTGCGTTGGCGCCATCTGCACGGTTGGGTTTTGTCTTCCAGAGTGGAAATAAAAAGGCTTACTTCACGGTTTGCACTGTGAGATTAAATTCCAAAAGCTGAAGGGCCTCTTCAGCCATGTGGAGCCCCTGGTGCAGGAAGCAGAGTGGGGAGCCAGACAGGGCGCTGCCGAGCTCCAGGCACCGTCGCAGGCCATGGGGCCCGGCCAACTACACGCGGGCTCTGGAGCTGCTTCTGCTTCTAGTTCTAGTTCTAATAGGAAGAAAGAAAGACTGAACTTGAGAAGACAGTCTGTACCAGAGAGAGCTGGACTGTGGGCCAGGCTTAGGACAGAAATGGAGGGAAGCGCACATGGGTGGATGCCTTTGAGAGACGAGACGTAGTCGGGACGGCAGGGAGAAGCGGGCCACAGAGGTGCCGCCCACACTCCCGTCTCCAGCAGGTCAGGGTGTCCATCATGCTAGCAGGAAAGATGGGTGTGAGAAGGTCATGAAGGAGTTGGGGGGACAGCAACACCCGCTCCGCCGGCCACGTGGACAGATGCTACGGCGGGCCAGCACACGGGGGAATGAGTCCGGACAAGCCCTGGGTGGTGCACCCGTGTGCTAGGCCGTCGCTTGGTGAGCAGTACTGCCTTATGAAGATCTTCCTCCTTATCTCATTTAACCCTCAGACAGGTGTACTGCAGGTGTCAGTGCCTTTATGACACATGACAAAACAGGTGCAGGGAGGCCAACCGGATGGGACTGCAACGCGAGTCTCCTGTCTTCCACTAAAGCTCTTTGCCTTTGCCACCAAGGGTGATTGAGTTTGCAGTCACGAGTGGGACAGAGGGAGGCAGAGAAGCCCTGGCCTGACCCCCAGGGCCAAGGCCTCTGCGAGAAGGGAGCAGAGCAGAAAGAGAGTCGTCTTCACCCCTTCTCTCTCCTTGCAGGGCGAAGTATTTCTGCGGAAAGAAGCTGAACGGAGACATCGAGATCCGCGTGGAGCAGGTAGGTGGGGCTGAGCGCTGGCACCCATGCGTTTCCAAGTCTGGGCCATTCCGGGAGTGGCCTTGGCCCACCCCTTTTGATAATGAATCAAGATAAGCAAAAGGGTCCTGGCACAGATAAACCAGGAGTTTCATTGAGTTCCAGAATTATTTGGTCTTGTAGTTTACAGCCTTTTCTATTTAGCAGCAAAATTTTCAAAGGAAATGACAAATAGCAACTCATTTGCAAAATAGAGACAAGCAGAGGTGCTGTGATGGAAGTGGGATGGAGTCCCCAAAAGCCTGTACCTGTGTGGTTCCCTCCCAACATCTCCTGGACTGTTTGGGCCGGACATAAAGCTTGAGAGTGTCTCACGCTGAGCCGGCTCTCATCTCTCATCCCCTTGGGGTTGAGCAGGTGACTTCATCTCTCTCCACTGCAATCTCCTGCATCATTGTGGTCATTACACTATCTAAGCCCCGAGAGAGGTGGGAGTGAGAACCCTAGCTGTTCTTGTTGCCTCCGTGACCAACATTCAGCCCCCTGTTTATGTGGGAAGAAACAGCCCTGCTCGAGACTGAACAGGAAGTCGGGGCAGAATCTGGACCAGAAGCGCAGAGGCCCTGACTCGGGGTTCAGTTCTGCCGCTGCCCTGGGCTGTGCAGCCCAGGTGTGACCGGGAGCTGTGTACCAGGCCTCTGCTCCTTTTCCTGGCTCCTCTTCTTGCTCTTCTCTTCCTTCATCTCTGTCGAGGTCTTGTTTTCCTTCTCTTTCTCCTTCTCCTTCTCCTTCTCCCCCTTCTTCTTCTCCTTCTTCTCTTCCTCTTCCTCCTGCTCCCCTTCTTCTTCCTCCTCCTGTCTCACCATCAAGGCTCCAGCGTAAATAAGACAGACCAGGTTTTTGCCATGAAGTTAACTGAAGACAGCTCAGTGACAGGACGAGGGCTGGCTGTGATGGTCTCTCCCCTCCCTGCCCTTCTTGAGCTTCGGGTGTCCGAGGGACAGAGAGCCCTCTACGCGTCAGCCCACCCTGGCCTCATGCTGAGGCCCTATGGTTTGGATTTCAGCTTGACCCTGGCTTTCAAATGAAGCCACTGTCTACTGGTTTTCCCTTCGTGGCAGAAAGCAGGTTATTTTTGTTCACTTTACCGATATTTGTCAAGTGTCTACACTGTCAGCTCCTGCAGGGACTGAGGGTACAGAATGTGGGCCGAGTCCCAGGGAAGCTTGTGGTCTAGGAGGGGAGGCCAGGTGAGTCTGAGGACAGCCCCAGCGCAGCACTGTTGAGCACAGTACTACTCACCAAGGGGTCCAGGGCGGCTTGGAGGAGGGCAGCTGCCTGGCCCAGCTGAGGATGGGTGGGTTTCCAGCAAGCGGGTCTGGGGCCCTGTAGCAGGTACAAGGGGGTAGGCGTCGGGCTGGTGGGCTCCACAGCAGCCCTTCCAACTCCCACTCCAAGCCCCCCTCCTCCCTCCACCCCCATGCTGGCATCTTCCATCTGCCATTCACCTATGAAGCAGGCACAGGCTCCTGGTCTCCCTGTATGCCTCACCCATGCTGCTGACCAACCTATAACCCTATGTCTGTCCACCCTACCACCAGGAGCCTTCCCTACCGGGCCCACCTCGCTGGCACTCAGCACTCCTAACAGCTGACTCGCCCCATCTTTGCTCCTCTCCAGTGTATTCCCTCCTCACAGCAAGCCATAGCGATCTGCCCTTCAAAGTGTTGGCCTTGGAGTCCGAGCTGAATGCATCTTGGAGCCCTGTCTCACAACGGGCGCCCTGGGTGTTCTTTGTCACAGCCCCTCAACTCTTACTTCACAGCTCTAATCTGGGGTTTTAACTGTGTATTATAAACTGGGATATTTGCATGAGGGTAGGGGCCATGGCTGTTTGGGTTTTAGAATGTTAAGTAGCGCCAGGCCTGGTATTACCTATACTTGAAGGTCAGTGTGCAGGATGAAGAACCAATAGAGTTTGTGGGTTCCAGGCTGCTTGTCAGTTTCCAAGGCTGATGCAGCACTGCCGTAATCTCCCCTCAAAAGTCTGGGTTTTCCATAAGCCCTCGGCACATGCTATCATGGCTGAGCTGGCCCTGGCTGTCCCCACTGCAGCAACCCCTCTTAGCTCAGCGCTCCTTTAACCCAGCCTGCAGCCCCAGCTTCTGGAGCAGGAGCCACAGATGGGGTTGCCCTGAGAACAGCTTATGAAGGGCCCTGGCGATTTGGCCAGAGCCGGAGGCTACGATCTGCAGGGTACTTCAGAAGATTTAGTCTTTCTGACTTCCCGCCATGCCTCTCTTTGGACAGCAGTAGGTCATTAAGCCCGGAAGTCGATTAGCAGGGTTTTGGGACGTTTTCCCTGGAAGGCGTGGCTCCCCCAAGCCACGCTGGCATCTGCACCCTTCCTCTCTGCCCAGTGGGATCACTGCACCAGTCCCATGAGCAGCCCCCAGGAATCCTGTGTACACCCTGCAGGGCTTAGGGAAAAGCTTAGGACAGAAGCCACTGTTTAGTCTAAGCTGGCCTCAGAGTCGGGGAGCCTGTCTCTCACTAAGGGCTGAATTAACCAGATAATTGCACTGTCTGAGTTTTGTAGACACAAGAGAGAGTTAATTGTGGTTGACTAGAAGGGAAACCTCTGTTCCTTCTCTCCTCTGTCCTTGTCCCCCAGTTTAAAAGTGTTTGTCTGGCTCTCCCAGCCCAGAATCTGGGGGCCCTGGTGAGGTAGGAGAGAAGCGTCATGTTGCAGCCCACCACCCAGAACTCCCTGGGGACCTGTGGGGTCCCACAGCGGCATCCTAGGAGGGCCTTCGAGGATCAAGCTGGCATGGTTGGCGTGTCAAGCTCTCCTCTGTTTGTATTTGAGGCAAAGGGTCTCCATACCCTCAAGCACAAGTCACTCTCTGTGAGGCAGTTGACGGATGGATTAATATTGACCAAGTGGACTCACAGTAACTGGGGCCATGTGGGATGGACTAGAGCTCAGAAAGAGAAATGGAAAGACTGCAGTCACCACGCTCTCAGCCTTCCCTAGGAGGCGGGGGGTGCTCCAGGACACCGAGAGCAGCAGCAGGTCGCTGTAGCTGGAGGAAGGAGAAGCAGGAGCGCAGGCCGGGTGAGCCGCAGGCCCGCGCAGCAGGCCCAGGCCCTGCGGTCCCCGTTGTGTGTGCTGTCGGAGCTGGATAGAGTTAGGCGAATGGCTGTCCATCCTCTGTTTTCTTTTGTACTTCCTCAACATACATGTCTCCTGAAAACAAGAGTGAATTTTTTCTTAGAATATGTATTTTAGGGGGCCAGGGAGATAGCTCAGCAGTCTAAAGTGTCTGCTTAGGCAAGTGCACAAAGACCTTGGTTCAATCCCTGGCACCACATGCCGTGCCAGCCCCGCCCCCCGGGTGGGCTGAGCCAGCCACAATAAATAAATAAATACTTTAGCCATGGATATAGCTCAGTGGCACAGCTCCTGCCAGGCAAGTGTGAGGTCCTAAATTCAACTCCTGGTATAAAATACATATTTTAAACACTTCAGACACTAGACAGGCTGAGTATCTCTTATCCAAAACACTTGTGACAGAAGTATTTCTGCTGTGGAACCCATTCAGATTTCGGAATGTTTGTACGCACAGCGTGCCCTGGCGGGACCCAAGTCTAACTGTGAACTGCGCCGTGCCCAGCACACCGTGCCGCCAGCCTGAGGCAGTAGCGTGCAGGGTCTTCAGTGCGCCCGCGCGTCCACCGCACTTCCTCACAGGACATCCGGGGAGGCATTTTCCGCTTGTGGTGTTCTGTGGACGCTCCGAAAGTTCTGGGTTTTGGAGCACTTTGGGTTTTAGATTTTCAGGTTGGGATGTTAAGCCTGATTTTACATATTTTCATATTCATTTCAGCCTTCAGTCCATAATTTGTTCCAAGACAATCTTTCTTAGAATTACCGTAACTGCAGATATTGGCTTCAAAATGCTACTGTGTAGCATTTTATAGAACAGATGTTGATGAGATAAAGAAGTGGAGGTTGGATGTGAATTCAGTTTGGTGGATTAGCAACAGGTTGAAGATCATCCTTGGTTTGGAACAGTTCCTCGAGAGATGTGCACCTTGAGGACAAATGCGTCTAATGCTGGCCAGCGGGACCCACCCTTCGCTCCTTCTGCGCCTTCTTCTTCATATTAACTGTGCAGGTTATATTTGCTGCAAACGTGAAGCTGAGTGTGATTGTGATTCTAATAAATTGGTCTCCCCAATCCTGCTCTTTTGCGTCTGAGCTTTTGGAGGGGAGCCCGTGTTGTACGCCCATCGCGTGTGACCATGTCAGGTGTCATCTGGCACATATACGAGCTGCTCAGGGAGCTACTGGTGTCGCTGTTCCTCGCTAGACTTGATGTCACTTCAGGCTGAATCTTCAGAGAAACAGAACAGCAGCAGCCCAAAGGCCTCACCGCGCACGCTGCCTTGCCCGTGCCAGCAGACGTGCTGGTCGGATTCTGGTGAGAGGTCCAGGTGCGGTGCCACACGCTTCAGGGGATCGTCGTAGCTGGGTGCTGCCTGAAGAGTGAGGAGGAGCCCGAGCCTGAGGAGGGCCCGGCACAGCCCGCCCCTGAGCTCTCCCACGGCCCTTCTGCTTCCCCATGCTCATCCGAGCACTCACTTTTCACTTAGCTTATCCTAGAATGTGTTCTACAACAGTAAGCAAAGAGCTGTCTTGTTCTTGTTACTAATCACCTGGAGTTCACCACAATTTGTTTTATGTAATTTTACTATTACAAACAATACCAAACCTACATCATTTCAAACTTTGTCAGTGTTTCTGTAGAATTCCTTCCTAGAAATAGAATAACTCATTCAGAAAAAGTGCACGTAGTGCATGCCGTCATATCTCCAGGGGTGAAGGATTTTGCCCCCAGCTGCTGAATTGTCCCAAAAGACACCCGTCCGCCTAGAGCCCTTCTTTGGAAGCTCCTCAGGTGAGGAGGGATGCCTCACCAAGGTCACATCTCCTTCCAGGGACAGTTATATCAAAT